AACCAATGTCATAAAGCAATATGTGTACTGACTGTTTAATGAGAAACTATTTGTTCTGTAAACCTTCACCTAAAGTACAATTAAAAAAAAAAAATACAAGACTGCCTGTTTGCCCACATCTTCAGTAACACTGGGTGTTGTGTTTTTCATCTTTCTGCATCTGATAGGTGGAAACATGGTCTTGTCACTGTAGTGTTGTGGTTAGAGTGTGACTCTGGATCCAGTCTACTGGGGCCTGAATTCTGACTCACCACTTTTTGTGTGACCTTGGGTAAGTCATTTACCCTCTCTGTCCCTCAGTTTCATGTTTGGTAAAATTGGGGGATAATGGTAGCACCTATTTCATGGGAGTAATGGTGAAGAGTATATCAGTTAATCTAAGTAAAATACTTAGAATCAGAACTGAGACATAAAAAACAAACAAAAAAACAGACCCATTTCTATTGAGTCAATTGCGACTCATAGTGACCCTATAGGACAGAGTAGAACTGCCCCAATAAATATAATTTAATTTACATTTCTTTGAATGTTAGAAGTTGAACATCTTTTCAGGTGTATTTTGGACAGTTACGTTTTTTTCTTTGATTCACTTACTCATGTCCTTTGTACATTTTTCCAAGTAATATTTTTCTTTTTTAATTTGTAGATATCTTTTCATGTCAGTAAATACAGGATAAATGGCTGAATTATATTTCAATGTGTGGATGTACCATAATGCATTTTATGCTCTAATACTTAACCCATTTATGTCATCTGTTATCCACAGAGCCTTCCCTGACCCCTTTACTGAAAATTGCAACAATCCCCCTTTCTTCTCTCTCTCCCTTCTTGCTTCCTTCCTTCCCTCTCTTCCTTCCTTTGTTTTTCATTTATCACCACCTAATATACTACAGGAGCCCTGGTAGCACAGTGGTTAAGAGCTCTGCTGCTAACCAAAAGGTCGGCAGTTTGAATCCACCAGCTGCTCCTTGGAAACCCTGCGGGGCAGTTCTGCTCTGTCCTTTAGGGTCGCTGTGAGTCAGAATCAACTCGACAGCAACGAATTTTGTTCTTTTGGTTTAATATACTACAGGTACATTGGCTATCATATGTGATACAGAATTATTCCCACTTTATCATTTGTCTTTGAACTTTATGCATTTTTTTTTTTTTTTTTGGTCTGGAAGTTTTACATTTTTAGGTAGTCCAATTAGTCTTTCTTTCCCTTACAGTTTTTTTTGCTGCTAGGTCAATGCTTAAAAACAACATGCTTCTCTACCTCAGAATTACAAAGATAGTCACTCATTTTCTTTGATTGTTTTTTCTTTTGCGTGTGTGTGTATGTTTCTTTTTAAATCCTTAAATTTAAATCTAATCCATCTGAAATTTATTTTGGTATGAAAAGGGTGGTCAGGATCTGGCTCTATTTTTTTTTTTTTTTCCAGTTAAGAATTGCTGGTTGTCCCAAATCTATTTATTGAAGCAGAAGGAGCAAAAGGAGGGGTGTTTATTTCTATTTTCCCCTCCCAGTTTGAAAGTGCCTTATCCTTTTGAATATCATATCCTCAGAGATAGTAAATCTCCATTTCAGAGAATGGATTTGGTATTTGGTATAGGGTACTAAATGCTGTGAACCCATGGTGTTCTAGCTCTGCCCATATCAGCTGTTTTTGGAACTCTAGTTTCATTTAGTTTCTTGCCTCTGACTCAAGATGGAGGGAAGGTGATTCTTATATAACAGAGCATACACATATTCCATTGGCAGCTGCTACCTGCCAGAAATGATGAAGAGTAGCTAACCCTTACATAGCACATTCTATATGCCAGGCACTGTTCTAAGCACCTTCCACATATATGCTCTTCCTTATGAGGTAGGTGCTCTTATCATCATCTCCAATTTTCAGAAAAGGAAACAGAGGCCCCTAAGAGGTCAAATCCTTTGAGATGTCTCTATGCCACTGCTTTGCTGGCTGTGCACTGACTTGGCACAGCTCCTCCTTTGCCTGTGTTGCCTCTCCACCATCACCATGGCCACCAGCTTCTGGCAGTGTCAGAGGTGAGCTGCTTCCTCTAACACAGCATCCTTGCCTTCCCACACCCCAAAGGAGATACTCCTCTCAGGAGGCTTCTGGCTGTAGCCTGATCATTTCAGCAGATCTCTTCTCCTTCCTTCCTCCTAGGAGGGGAAATCAGACCTTTATTTTTTCTTTCCACACAGTATCTGAGGGATGTAGGTTACAGGTTGGGGAGGGTCACCTTGCTTCTGGTAGTTGTTTTTATGCTTCCTGTTTCTAGCCTGCTGTGCCTCCTAGAGGTCCTGGTCAGTAGATAAGTCATGCGTTTGTCTTTGGAGCTTTCCGGGTCTTACACTTAGCTCACAGGGTACATCACAGTTCATAGCTGTGGGCCTCATGGGGACACTGGCTGTGAAGGCACCACTGATCACCATGCTGTTGATGAACTCAACCCACCACATGGCTCTTCCGTCTGTCAAAGGGAATGGGGAAGCCTGTGCTGGATGAGGGCATTATCTGAATCAGTTCATCTCCTTGAATGGCTCCTTGCCTGCCCATGGGGCTCTTCTGCTGGCATCCAGAAGAGGTTTCCTCTCTCCGCATCCTATTACTGGCTACGGAGTCTTGCTTATTTTCCAATATAGACTTGCTTTGGAGCCTGCCCTTATTTATTTTCAATCCCTCTGTCTAGACTGGGAGCACAGGAAGCACATCTGTTTTGTTTGCCACTGTATCCCAAGACTGAGTAAAGGCCTTGCACTCAAATGTTTGTTGAATGAAGAAATGAATAGTGGCCTTGAAACTTCAAACTCCTGGTTTTCCTTGCTTTCTGAAGCCAAGGACTAGATTAAGAACTTTTTAGAGGCCTAAGCAATGGGAGAAGACAGTATTGTTAAACACAAAATAAGTGTAAGGAGATCCAGCAAAGTTCAGGTTTTTCCCATGGTGACTATTTTGATGCATATATATATATATGTATTTGTATATACATGAAATAACTAAAAAATTTGTTGTTGTTGTCTCTGCTTTGCCAGTTCCCTAAGCACATACTGTTGGGTAATCTTGCCTGGACCTGCCCCTCCCTCACCCTGGACTTCACTTTCAGTTCCTCTTTACTCCGTCTGCTAAGGCTGCCAGCCAACCCCTCCCACCCCCAAGGTGCCTGGCTCTTGAGACCCAAGTCAGGGCTAACGTCCCTGGGTTTGTGGGGGCTTGCCCTGAAGATCAAGTAGAACATCCATACTGCTAAAGAGTAACCCACAATGAGAACTCCCATGCTGAATTGTGATTTATAGTCAGCGTAGCACATTGTGCCAGGTGATTACACCTAGGCCATTTTTAGCCTTGATAATCTGCTTCTGGGATCCTGTATACCGGGAGCCAAGAGATTTGCCTGTGCTCCCCCTTCCTGGATCCCTGAGAGAGAAGACACAGGCTCGTTCTGCCTTCTGTATTAATGTTGGCCTTGTCAAGACGGTTGGGAGAAGTAAGGCATGATGCTGGAAGTGGGGCCCAGACCTTCCATAGGCAGTCCCAAGGCTCTGACCATAATCAAATCCTGTTGCTGCTTGATGCCAAAGAGTTTAAAATAGTGTTGGAAACCTCCTAGGAAAAAAGCACCACCATGACTTCCTGGCTAAGGAAGTGGTGTATGCTGGCTAGAGCAGGAGAGGAATAGCCAAAACTCCCAAGTTCTCTTCTGGACCTGTTGGTGATTTGAGGTATGACATCAGCAGTCCAAGCTGATGTTCTGTAGCTCTCACTGGTTTCTCATCTTCAGAGAGTGATGTGGGCTGTGTTCGCAGGGTAAGGACCAACACAGTAGTAAAGGTAGACATGTTCACACTGGTCCCCTATCCTGTGGCATTTGAAACATCTGGGAGAGCCTCACCGTTAGACAGACATCCTTCCTTTGATTTGAATTTCCAGGCTCCTTTTTGAAATGCAGAGTTAATATAGGAACAGAGTTAATATAGGAACACAGCAACATCGTTCACATTTTACTTGAATGCATTTCATCAGGATTGCTTTCCTTTTAGCAGTGTGATAAGATCAGCTCTTCTCAGAGGTGGACACTTTGATAGGGTTAGGAAAGGAGGGGAAGACAGTGAGGCTGCGGTGTGTGGGGGGCACTCAGTAGAAGCCTCAGACAGCCAGAGAGCAGAACGAAGGCACCAGGAGCATGATGAGCTAGACCAGGAAGAACAGAAACTCACATCCCTCAGGAGCCAGGCATGCATTAGATGCTTTTTGTATATTTTCTTATTTAACTATACTATAAGCCTGTAAAGTACCATCCCCATTTTTGCACATGGGTGAAGTGAAAGTCAGAGGAGTTACATAACTTGCCCCTAAGGTCACATAGGTAATGAAAGGCTGAGCTAGGAATTCTACTCAGGTCTGTCCATCTCCAAAGCCCATGCTGTTTTCACAGAGCTCATCTGTAGTGAGATTTAGGAAAGGCGGGGAAGGGAAAGAAAGAAAGGTGAGGAGATGCCATCTTTCTCTACCTCACAGTTTTGCTTGTTGAGACATGTTTAGCCAGAGCATCCTGTTCATAGAATACTAGGTTCTATATATAGAGATGGTACAACAACATGTTTAGGAAAGATACCAATTGGCCGTAGGGGAGAATTTAAAAAAGCCTTTGTTCTTTACCTCTAGGTCTTCATTGTAGTGCAGCCCACAAGAGCCAAAACACCACTGGTAACTCTGGTTTACTGCTTCAGTGGCTCTGTCATGTCATCCAAAGAAAATCTGTTGATGTATCCTAAGGAGTGAGCTGTGATAGGGGCAAAGTTGGGGGTGTGGTGTGCCCTTACTGCATGTACTGGAGCTGGTGGCACCTGTTGTGTGACTATTATGATGAATTATTACTGAGTAAAAGAGAGATCTCTCTTGCTTTTCCAGGGAAGACAGATGGCAGTGGGTACTGCACAGATCCAGGAGATCCTGACCTCTGGGCTGGCAGAGGAGGACAGCTTGAGGCTATCAGGTGATGGGATCAGAAGAGACAGGGCCGCTCTGTCAAGTGGTGTAATTCAGGGACACCAAAAGTATGTCCTGCCCTTCAAAAACTTGCCCTAGCTATCTGCTATTGCTTGGAATTCCACAAGTGAAATTTCTTTTTCTTGACTTAGAAATCTTTGGGACCCTCTTAAAAATGTAGGGACTCCAGATTGTGAAGCATCTCTGTCATGTAAGTGGAAGTATGAGTGAGTTTATGAGATTCATTTCTGAGAACTAGACTAAGGCAGGGATAGAGAGTAGAGGATAC